AGATCGCAAGCTCTGGGCAGCCATATCAGACCTCCTCGGACAGCAATGGTCACTGGACGATGCCTTGTACGAGCTAACGCACATGAGAAACGATGTGCGCAGCCTCTTGCAGTTGCGCCCTAAAATGTCCAAGCCGACCGTGCCAGCACCACCACGCCCGACAACACCGCGGCAACCCAAGCGCGATATTGAGCCAACCCGCGAGCCTTCACGCCCACCCAAGAAAGGAAAGGGGAAGTTCAAAGGAGCCCTGCCCGCGTCCAAGCCCAAAGCAGAGTGGTGCGCCACATACAAAGGGTGCGAAGTCTGCCGACGCTATCAGACAGGCCTTTGTACTAACGACCAGACACTCGAGCAGTGCGTAGGCCTGCTCATGTAAGCCACCAGCATTGCCTTGCATCTCAGATCTTGGCTAGCGCCTCTCTACTCTGATCTCAACAGCCCTCCGGGCTCGATGCGCTCGGTACCACCGCAACTGGTCAGCCTTCAGAGCCTCCTTGAACAAGGACCTGAAGACCAGCCATAGCCTTCCCAGCCTTTGGATCGCAGCGCTCCGGGACAGGCCGCCCCACGCATTGCCCTCAGGACGTCCCGCGTGTGCCAGGCACCAGCAAACCCACGTGGGTACATGTCTCAGATCCAAATAACGAAACCACACCAGCTGCAGGCACTGGCAGCCGCAGATGCCTGTGCCGAAGGCGACTTGGTTGGTTTGGTGGCTGGGCAATCACTTCATCACAAGTGGTTTGGTTTGCCGAAACCTGGAACATGCAGGACATACGGGCAGTATGGCCTTGCCTTGTCAAGCCTGGGCAGCGCTACATCGCATTTTTCGAAACGCTGGCGCAGTTGGCACTGCTGCAGGCCACCCATAGCCACATTGGTGGTGGGCACTACTCATTCAGCATGCCTTCAGGCACTGATAACTCGGCAACAGAAGCAAGCCTTAACAAGTTGTTCACGACTTCTTGGCCGCTGCAACTCTTCGTGCAGCTCACAGCCTTCTGGGCGCATGCGCACAATGTGTTGCTGCAGCCCACACATGTTCCAGGCAGGAACAATGATTGGGCAGACGACCTAAGCAGAGGTCGGCTAGCCCGATTCAGCCATCGCCCAGAGAGTCGCGTGCGCTTCAGCCCGGCAGGCCTTGCGCTGTCAGGCAGAGGCATCCAGCTGTGTCCGATTGATGCGCCCTGGCGCCCGGAACACCTAGCAGCTGCTGCCAGTTGCGTGTAGACAAGCCTTGCTGCCTTCCAACAGGCGTCGCGACCCGACATCGCCCTGGCAACCAGAATATCTGGCTGCATCTGTCAGCAGCTTCACAGCAAGCCGCTTTGGCGAAAATGAGCAGTCCCAGAACAGCAAATGCTCATAAGCATGTAAATGCAATGTCGTGCGACATTTGCCCTGCCAGGTACAACCCCACTCTGAAGGGGGGGTGATGAGGCCGGCGGCCCAGCTGGCTCGCTTATACCGGGGTTGCCTGAAACACTGAAGGGGGGGTCAACGCACCTCCTGCTCCAGGCGCATCCGTGCCCTGGAAGCAGTGCTACTTTCAGCAATCCCGGTTAAAAGAACTGCGGCCGCTTCGGACTTGCTTTGTTCTTTTGGGTGGTCTGGTTTGGGTTCAAGATAGGAGCAGTGCAACATGCCTTAACGCTTAGGGTTTTCTTTTCCCTTGTGTTTAGGGCATGTTGTGAATCTACTTCCGCGGTGGCCGTTTTGCTCCTAGCCTTGACCCAAACTTGATCTGTTTCATTTGAAACCCACCCACCCACCCTGCATTGCCCTTTACAAGGCTCTGCAAAGGAAGTTGCAGATGCTCTGCATTTCCATCCATGGTCTCCGGACCTCCGGGTCTCCGGACCGCCCACGGTCTCAGGACCACCAGGTCTCCGGACCGGCGTGGGCACGCTTGCCACGCCTTGCGCGCACTGCACGCACCTGCAAGGACACGCGTTGTCTTGCCTTTAAGTTTCACGGGGGGTCAACGCACCTCCTGCTCCAGGCGCATCCGTGCCCTGGAAGCAGTGCTACTTTCAGCAATCCCGGTTAAAAGAACTGCGGCCGCTTCGGACTTGCTTTGTTCTTTTGGGTGGTCTGGTTTGGGTTCAAGATAGGAGCAGTGCAACATGCCTTAACAGTTACGAAGTTTGTCCTCGTAGCACGTTGGAAGTTTCGGCACCCTTCGGGGAACTGAACGATTGCAGCGGTTCACTTTTGGCACTGTGGTGATGGTACATGAATAAGTACTGCTGGCCACGAATCGATGTAGAGCACGCTGCGTGGATGAACTTCTGCTGCGCTTGATTTATGTAGGTCCACAATTAACTGCTGGTGCTTTTTCCAGTTGGTGCACAAGGTTTTTGGATGGTCTGGTCTTTTTCATTGGCGATCAGATTCGAGGATGTGGTTTTGCACTACGATTGCAGTTGCAGACAGTGGATGCATAGGTGCAATCTTGGAAAGACCGGAAATGCAGGATGGTCCTATTGGTGTACAGTATTATCGGTGGATTGGCAACTACTTGGGGACTTGCTGTCTCGCTTTTGCTCCAAGCAAACGCTGCGCATGTCACTTCTTGGTGAATTAAGTGATGGTGCGGGTTTTTCTATCCTTTGGCGTGAGAGAACTGAAGCCCGTTCTGCTGTACCAATGGGGTACTTGTCCCGGGCTCCCCGCTGGCCTGATGGTTCCGTCTCCGCATCCTATTCCCTAAGTGAGTTCTCGTGCCGGGGGGGGGTCCTCACTGAGCAGGGGGGTTTTGGTCACAGACCCCCCCAGGGGGGGGTTACACCGTTGCGCTTCACTTCTTTGGTGAAATGTATGTTTGTGAGTCGGTTTTCGGATGATTGCGATTTTCGCTGAAACCATTTACTTCAGCTTTGCTGCACGCTTTGTGCAGCAAGTAGTCTTGGTGGCCTGTGAGAAAGGAGGCTTGGTGTGCGGTCCTTTTTGGGGACTCACAGGCATAGGGCCTAGTGTTTCACCTTTTGCTTTTGCCTTTACCCCTGAGTGATGGCCTTTTTGCCGCTTGTCGCTTCTCTGAAGCCTCTTTTTGTACCATGGACTTTCTCTTGTCGACCGGCGATAATGCCACTTGCAGCGCTCACAAAAGTGCATACTTTGGTTCCCTTTAGTGGGCGCGTGCATCACCTGCGAGTGCAACTTGTGGGTTAACGCCGGGTACAGTACGAAGTTGGTCGTTTGAAGTGAAGTACGCAACCCTCTTGCAAAAGCCGCAGCAAACTTTGCACGGTGATCTCTTGCTTTAGTAGTGGTAGTTGACCATGTGATTCCGCACTCCCATCCAGCCAGGTGCCATTGTGTGGCACTCAAGAAACAGCCGAAACAAACACATGTGACGTGAGGCTTTTGTGAGGTTGAGAGGTTTTTGTGGCAAGGGAAGCATCCATTTGCCTTTGCACCCGATGTGCTTTTCTCAATGTTGCATGCGGCGCCCGACACAGTGGCCGGTCTCCGACTTGATTTTTTCGGCTTCAACCTTTTGTCCTTTTACATCCTTCCGCGGTCAAACCGTGGAACGGTCTCCCGGGCCTTTTGGGGCCACCGTTTTTATGGATCGTGCTCTGGCTTAGTTTCTGCCCCTGTGGGCTTCTGGTGTACTTTACCCAAAGTTTGTTCCACCGTTTTAGGGGTTGTTAGGTCGCCTATGGGCCCCGTGGCAACTCGGAGCGTTTGATGAACGGCTTGGGGAAAAAGAGAGGTTGTTTTGATGCCAGGTATGGCCATGAACTTCTTGAGCTAGCGACATAGTGTTTTTCTATGTCACCAATTGCAGGGCTCTTAAAAGATACCTTTTGCCCATTTGAAACATTTCCACCAAACTATAGGGAAACCAACCACCATTTACAAGGCAATGTTCTGTTCAGGTGTATAACGTAAGGATCCCAATGGCTGCAAGGTGAAAACGCGTGATGTGAAACACGCTCACGCCCGCCTCTTTGTTTGATACACAAACAAATGTAGAAGGCTTCACGCTCCTGTGGCTGCGTCCAAAAATGTGGATTTTTTTGTTGCCGGTTTCTCTTATTTTGTTTGTACATCTAATTTGTGCATTCAACCGATAATTCCGACTTTTCTGTTTGACTTTCAGCGTCGAGATTGCTGTGATGCTGCACGTAAGATGACAAACACGTGTCAAAACGGGCACTTTGTAGTCAATATTTGCATTCTTGCCGCTCTGGATGGGAATTGGTGCTTCCTCGTTTTTGTTTCTGCGCTTCGCTCGGTGGTTTGCCACGCTCGGTGATGCTTGGAACTTGGAGCTGGGTCTTTGCTTGCCTGCGATGTGCAGAAACAGCTTGGCGTCGTGGCAAAACCGACGCTGCGCACCTTCCAGGTTTCCGCGCAGTTGAACTCTGGGCAAGTGGAAATTGTGCGGAGTTGAACGCGGAGTGACATTTGTTCGGCGTGATGTTCTCGAGCGAGAGAGCGAGAGAGAGGGAGAGAGACAGAGAGAGATAGTGACAGACAACGATGGCGCAACAAAGATGCGTGAAGGATTGCCCTGCAGTGAGACTGCGTTGAAACATGTCACACAGAAGTTAAGCAAAGAGCCTGCGCGAAGAGAAATTCAGCGCAAGTACCAGCATGTTGATGGCAACAAATTCTGGGAAAGTTGTGGTTTGGTCAAGTAGGGTTGCTGTTTGGTCGGGGAATGATGCTATTTCACACAAGCAGAGGTTTTCAAAACCCGAACAGAATGAGGTATTGTTTGCTATCCAACCATTCGCACCTGAAACATGAAGCTGTTGGAAGGTACTGGAACGAGACATGGGGTAGTTGGCGTCGTGACCATTGTTATCATGAGAGTGACCCTGCAGCTTGAATTGCATCGTACGGAAAGTTACGAGTATTTCCGTCGTTTGTTGCAGATACATGTTAAATGCTTGCTTTTCAGCTGGTTGAAATACATCATTTAGCGCTTAGGATGCAACATTTTGGGAGCTAATTGACATTGGGCTAGTATTGTGACCAGAGACATTTTTGGCTTTGCAGGCTGCCTGTTGCATCCCCTCCCTTGCGCTAAGATGGCTCGTATTTCCGCAGCGTGGCGCGCTCAGTTTTGACGCGGTGCTTTGCTTCGGCGTGCCGAAGCCCTGCAGAACCCCGAGCAATGCGAAGCCCAATGTCATGTTGGTTCAAGTGGTTCTCTTTAAGAACCCTCCCCAGATCCTTGGCAAACTAAATCCCCGAGTCCCTACCTGAATCAGCCAAAAGGCATCAGACTTCCCTGGGCGTAGCCCTTTTTCGGGGACCTCCAAACTGGCTCAAGGGTTCTTTCCTCGGGGTTTCGCTTCAAAACCCACCAAAAAGGGCACCAACTCAGAAAACAAGAACCACGAGACACACCCTGATGTTTGTACCCTCATTAACAAAAAAACACGACACAATGTTTGTACCCTCATTAAAAAAACAATCACAACACAAAAACAAGAACAAAGCACACAGAACAAACGCGAGACAACAGCTGGAGGTTTTTCCAGCTCCGCTTTTTTGTTTGCTTCCGGAGGCTCGCAGTCCTGGCGGGTCTCTGGGCTGTTCGCAGCTTCGTGACCGCGCCGCTGGGCGCGCGCCGGGAGGTTGGGGTCTCCGTGGAGGCGGGTGGCGATGGCAACGGGTGGCCTTTCGGATGCAAGCGCACAATGGGTAAGGCTTCTTGCTTTACCTGATTTGGGTATGGGTCAAAATTCAACCACCAGGGGACCGCAAGTTTTGGTCCATGTTTCCACTTCCCAGGGTTCCATTTGGGATACCTATTTTTGACCCACAGCCATTTGCATTTCCGCTTTCTCAATGCGACCGAATTGCCCTCATCCATCCTTTTTTTTTGCCCACCTTTTTGCCTTCCCAGATTCTGACTGCAAAAGAAGGCAACAGACTCTCGGGAAGGAGCACAGCCATGCAAAATGGCTGACAGTGGACAAGACATACAGCTTGTAGACTTTAGATTTGCTCATGCAGAACAGAGACATTGTGGGCTCGCACGAAACGGACATCCCATCACCACGGAACCTGGAGAGTCCCTTTGACTATGCGCGCAAAAGGGAAATCTCTTTTTCGCGCCTTTGGCAAGACACTTTTCAGGTTGGCAACTCTGCGAAACAGATTCTTTGGCAAAGACGTCGCATGAACTTGCATGCTAGGTAGCCCCTAGGTTGTCCCGTTCTCAGGTCTGCTTCGTCTTGGTCCGATCCAAATGTTGAGGGAGGGGCCCCTTTCTTTTTTTTGGGGGCATCCGCACACGTTTCGATGTGGTGAACTCCCCCCGAGCTTTTCGGTTCGGTCAGGCTGGGTATTTCCCCGTGGGCAACGCCAAGCAGACGGCGCCCTACGGGGAGCGAGACCCTCTGCCCAAGGGCTACGGCATCCGCACGGGACTGTCGGACCTGCTGAAGCCTCTGAACGCGGAGGCGGGCGTGGTGGCCAAGGAGGAGCCATGGGAAAAACGGAAGCGATCAGATGCGGGCGATGGGCTTGTAGGTGGGCGTTTCCCCCGTCCCCCCTCCCGGGAGCAGTTTTGTTTTCTTTTTGTTGGGACCAGTCTGGCACTCCGTTTTCACCCACTGACAGCTGTGTAGGGCTGGTCTTGTCTTCAAAAGAAGGGGGGGATCTGGGATTTGGAACCCAACTCTTTCGGATGTGTTCTTTGTTTCATGGTTGAGGACCGGAAATGTTTGATCGAGGCATTGGGTAGACAGCCAACCCTTGGAATGCGGGGGAGCGGTTTGAAGGGCACCAAAGAGTCACTGTGCACAGGGGGTCAGTTTGATTGCTATGGCTCCTAGGTGAGGTGGGCAAGGGGTGGCATATGCCTGCCTGGCCAGTATGGCAAATCTGCTCCTTGAATTTGTTGACAGACCCAAGTCAGCATGTTGAAGGGGCACTTTGTGACTAAAAGTGTTTGATCACGGGCAGTATCCCCTGACCGCTGGCTCAACTGTTTGGATTTGTTTCCATCCTTGAAGCCCTTGTACCGGGCTTGACCTTAAGACTTTTGGCTCGCAAAACGCGGCGACTCTTCGAACACCTGGACACTGTGTCTCTTTTGTTCCTTTTGGGGCCGTGAGGATAGCATCCCCACCGTTCTTGTGATGCTCACCGGCATCGTGCTGCTCTTCCTCTTCTACTTGCTGCTGCTGCTCATCGACAACCAGTCTGTGCTTCTGCCCCCTGAGGACGAGTTCGATGAGCGCCTCGGCGAGGATGTTATCATCTGGAAAGGGAATCGTCTGCAACAGTAGGCTTCTCGCACCCGAAAGCTAATGAAGGCGTGTAGCATGGGAACTTGACTTGGGTAAGTGAGGTATGTGGCCAACTTCCTGCCGTATTTCTTCTTCGGCGAGAAGTGAGGAGGGTTTGGCCCTCCCCGGTTTTTGGGTGCACCCGCCCGTGCGAGGATCAAAAACGAGAGCGCGGCCGTAGCTCCATGGGAAGGGGGACTTGGGGACGTGGCCTCTGTGCCATGGCCTTCAACTTGTTGTGTCACTGGAAGGTGGGGTTATTGACTCCCAGGTTAGATGGAGAGTAGCCTGGCCCATCATGTCATCCAACAGCGGTCCCACTGCTCGCATTCGGACGGTTGTCACAGGCGGGTGCAGTATTCAAGAAGAAGGGTCGTTTGGTTGCAGATTTCGAGCTCAGCCTACTTTTTGCTGGGCATGACTGGGTTTCGATGCTTAGACCATAGGCCTTTCACTTCATTCCTACGCGTGGAGCTTGGTCCTTGGCTAGTTTGCTTCAGGCCAACCTTGGTCATCCCGTGCCAGGTTTCGGTTTGTTTTGACGGAGGCGACACAATCATCCGCAGCAACCCCTTTGTAGGTCCCTCGCCCGAGGCGCTGCTTGCGGGCTGCTAACCGCTTCCAATCGGTCGCCTTTAGCGGCTCAGCGCTCGGAGCGTCCGTGGGGGCTAAAAGCTTCGGCCCGGGTCGGGGCCGGTGCGAATGGCCTTGGCCTTGGACAAGTCGGTCGCTTTCAAGCCTCTCTTGTCAAAACTTGCTGGTGCGATATGTAGGTTATGCCGAGGTGTCCGGGTGTTGGTTGAATGAACGGTTTTGGAGGATTCCTGGAGAACGGAAACTACAAGGGATGGTTGGGATTGCCTTTCTTGCTGAGAGCCAGCAAGCTTATCAAAAACTAACTGCGATGAATCCTTATTACTTTCAGGATGCCTTAAGAAAATCAGACAACCACATGGCTTCCGTTTTTGCCCACATCTGGGGACTTTTCAGTGTGGGACACTGAATGCCCCATGGGCTCGCCTTTTTGCAAGAAATGGGCCTCATCTCCGGGAGAGGTTAAAACACTGGAGCTAACGCTAACATTTCACGTCAAATTCTCCCTGTTCTAGACAATCACATTGTTGGCGACGGGTGATGTTTGGAAGATACGCGGGTAAAAAGATCGGGGGTACACAAAGAATGGTTCTCCTCTTCGGTTTCCTTTGTCTTCCTTGGGTTTTCCTTCAATTTTCCTTGGGTTTTCCTTGGGTTTCCTTGGGTTTTCCTTGGTTTTCCTTTGTTGCCCATTGGTTTCCCCTTTCCGTGTCCTGTTCTCTTTTTGGGTTTTCCTGAAGTCTTCCTTGGGTTCTCTTCGGGTTTCCTTGAAGACCGCGGTTTCTGGAGCTGAGGCGCCGCCTCGGCTGATCCGTCCGGCCCTCGAGCTGGGGAGAGGGGAGACTTCGGCCGGGGCTTTTCGTGGGTCGAAAGGACCCGCCGAAGAGGCGGGGCTGACGTTTTTTTTTTTTTTTTTCCACCTTGACATTGCCCCGGTTTTTTGCCTTTTGGGTCCCAAAAGAATCTTGAACCAAGGCCGGAGTTTTTTTCCGGGTTTTGGGTTGGTTGAGTAAGTCCACCCGACTTTGAGACGTCAAATGGATGCCGTTTTTTCCAGGATGGGACTTTCTCCCTTCGGTTTCGTTTGGAACTCGGTAGGGAGTTTGAGTCTTTGTTTCCTCGCTGCCAAATTGGGGGATTCCGATTTTCGAGCCAAGGCAGCTCAAGACATATTGGCGAGCTGGAAGTTTGGGGGAAGCGAAGGTGAGGGACTGAAAGCAAGAGCCAAGGCTTCGAAAAAGAGCACTGGGCAGCGCGGCTAAATGTGAAGTTGCTGGGTGCAGTTGCACTCCGGAAGCTCAGGAGTCGCTCGAACAAATTCCAAGTTGGACATCTCATTTTTTTTTTGGGGGGGGTGGAGTTTCGAGTCTGCTGTTCGCCCTGAGAGCCTAACCTGACTTGCCAACTTCGCAGCTCAAGGCTCCAGTTTCTCCCGGCCCAGGCCCAGATGCGGTGCCGCCGACGCCGACCCAGGAGCAGGTGGGGCTTCGAACAAAACTCACGGGCAGATCAGAAGCGGCACAGCCTCAACTTCATTTTGGTTTCATGAAGGCACCCTTGGATTTTTTTTGCAATTGGATAAGCCTTCATTACTGGATTTGGATTGGCTTGGGGACTTGAACCCGCAGCTCCTGATTGAATGAAAGGAGAAAGCAATCTTGCCAATCCATGTCAACAAACTAGGGGAGCCGCACAGTTGGTTTCCCTCTAGCTCTCTTTGAAGCAACCGGATTTGGATTTCCAAAATAAAACAAAGGAGAAAGCAACCTCGCCAGTTGGAGCCGCACAGTTGGTTCCCTCTAATCCTCTTTCTGGACGGCTGCCATTCATTTTCTGAAAAGGTAGAAGGACTGGCGCTTGGGTGGTAGGTCTTCTTTTCAGATGATGGATGAGTGACGACCTTCTTGAATGACGCGAGATCTGCATTTCCCCGCCTGAACAGATGCATGCCGGGATAAACAGTCGTGACAGCAAGGGTGTTTCGGGACCTGCTCGCGTCGTCCTTTTCTGAAGCGGGGTAAAGAGTCACGAAAAGCCAAGATGTTCTTCCTTCTTGCAAAGTCCCTTCCTTCGAATGGAAGGGTTGGCTTGCAAAAGCACGAATGCTTCTTCGCGGCTGGAATACGAGGTTCCCAAGGCTGTAGGGCTGGAGATGAAGTGAAGGTGAGACTCAGGATCAGCCTCTTTCCATCATTCATGGACGTGGACAACGGGCTTTTGGCAAGAGGATGCTACTCTTCAAGACCCTTCCCTTGCACTTCCATGCTTGTTCAGGGATCATCACTTTCTGGAGAGGTCTTCCTTCAAATCACCAGAGGGTGACTTTGAGGATGCACATCGCGCCATCGTGGGTGTTCCATTCATCCATTTGGCGTCGCCCAGGTGTTGTTTTTTGAGAGTTTAGGTTTTCAGGTTTAGGGTTTGTGGGGTTTAAACACAACCCACACGGTTTTAATCCTAAACCCGGTTTGTAGGGTTTAACTTGACTGCTATTGGGTTGGATCTTTAGACTTTCACTTTTTGATCGAAATAAAGGTGTTTTCTACTAAACCCCCAAAAAGTGAAATCAACTTTTTGCCGGGGGGGTTGTTGCAGCAACCAAGTTAAACCAACAAAAAGGGAAACCTTCATTTACAAGTTGCAATGTTCAGGTGTATAATGCATCCGGATCCCGGTTTAAACCCTAAACCCGGTCTGGGTTTCAACCCACCCCCGGTTTGAAGGGAGAAGGGACGCCACCTCTCCCGCGTCACATCCGGTGAGTTTCACTCAGCAGGTGGACCGGTACCTCGCGCTGCTGAGCTGCGAGAGGTCCGAGGCGGAGAGCGACGACGTTTTCGCGAGCAGAGCGAGCGGGTCGTCGTCGTCGTCGTGTTTTTTTGGTGGTGTCGAAAGGAAAACCGAAAAGGACACCACCCATTGGGTGTTTTTTTTTTTTTTTTTTGTGTGTGTGTTTGTTTTGTTTATATATATATATTTATACATACATTTATTATTATCATTTATTATTATTATTATGATTATTATTATGATTTTTATTTTTTATTTTTTTTTAATTATGATTATTATTATGATTATTATTATGATTATTATTATGATTATTATTATTATTATTATTTTTAATTAATATTATTATTATTGTTCTTATTATTATTACTATTGATATTATGATTATTATTATTGTTAATTTTTATCATTATTATTGTTATTATTATTATTGTTAATTTTAATTATTATTATTATTGCTTATATATTTATTGAGACAAGCCCAAATATCAACCATCTGAGTTTTCGACCTTTTCACACCTTCAGGCAACAAAAAGGACACATCACCTTGTGTCTGTCAAGGAGTTCGCTGGAGAACCTTTCGACTAACTGGAGCATGACTTTTCCCCACTAGCCAGTTCAACTGTTTGGTGAGGTGCCGTGGCCCCGAAGTGAGCTTTACGGTCGGCTTCTATCACGCCATGTGCAGAGGGGGCCTTTTGTGGCGAACATGCAACTTTCTTCCTGCCAACAATGGAAGTGGACAGGGGCATTTTTTAGCACAACTGTTGACGCCCCAAATCCTTCTGTCAGCTTCCATGATATCCAGCCTTAGATCACCCGGATTTTTTGGTATCCGTTGGGTTATTATGGTGACGTTTCCCCAAATGAAGAATTCCCTCTAAAACGGGACTCCCTTATTAGTCAACCAGGGCTTTATCTGTCTTGAGTTCTTTTATGTGCAAGAACTCGTTGCTTGGAGGATGGTTGGGATGGTCATGGGCCCCTCATTTGGGCTTTTGACAACCACTGCAAGTATTCAGATCAAAGGACACGTGACCAGCATCAAGAGTTCCCTTCGTGCCACATATGCTGCGTTGTTTGATGGTCAAACATCACCCGGGCTGATTCAAAATCATATTCCTTCTGGTGGGTGACGTTCAAACGAGACATCGGGTTGCAGGCATGGGAATAAAATGAAAGTGGTTGGAAGGATGGTGTGGCAGCATCCAAAAACATAGCTTGAATATATACCCTTTTTGCTGTGGATGGGCGAAATCCTGCACCACTTTGAAGCCTTGAGAAACCATTGTTTATTCGTATTTACAGGGCAATGACCATTGCAGGTTTTTTAGGTGGTGCAGGATTTCGTAGTATGGCTATATTGTGCTGCTCTCTCTTTTCCTCGCCTCATTTTCTCTTGCTCGTAGTGGTTCGGGTGTGGAAGGAGCCGTTTCCATTCAGATACAGGGCTCGAATTTGAATATTGGGGGCTCCGTGGACATCATTTTGGTGCCTCATGTCCACCAGCCACTTCTTGAGGGTTTTTTGAGGAATCAGGAGCTCCTCGAGCCCTTGGCTGTCCCTTTCCTATGGCAGAACACCCAAAACCACTGTTGAGGTGGCTTCCGCACTGAAATTCGTCTGCTGAAAATCGGTGACCCCTTTCGGTGAGGTTGGCCCAAACTGTATCCTTGCTCTATCTTTGAGGCTACCCCTTCTGGAGTGGTTTGAAAGGAAAACCAAAAGGAAAGTCCTTTGTGCCTTTTTGGGGGCCCAAGATGCCAACTTTCAGCTCT